ATATATATATATATATTTCATGATCCGCTTAATCACACATTTGTGTATAAATTGCTTTTTCTTTCATTTCTCCTTAAAGTACCTCTTTCAAGTTAAGTGATCTTGGACTTAGAGCATTTATATGAGCACTGAAAGCAGATTAGAAGTGACTGCAGCTTGAGCCCGTTTTACAGATGCGGAAAATCAAGCCCATAAGAGGGAAATGGCTTCCCAGGGTTGTAGGGATAGTGACTGAGCTGGGTCTGGACTCACTTCACCTGACTATTGGAGGCTGCACTGCAGGGTTGGAGAAGTCACCCTTTCTTGGGGAGTTGGTATACCCAACACCCAAGTTCTCCCTCTCTACACACCATTGCCAATGAGATAGTATCAGCTTTGAGTCTGGCCCCCCTCAGTCGGTCTGTCTGGGCTCTGGAATTTGCCCTCCTCCACTCACCCCCACGTCCTCCGCCTGTTCAGCTCCCACTGTCTCTGAGGTACAGCAACCAGACTTGACACAGAATTCCAGATGCAGAACAGATGTCATTGCCAGGCGGGCCTGGGGCTCCCTCCCAGCCCTCTCTGAGGGGGGAGTGAGAGCAGCTCTGATGGGCAGGACCCCAGCCTGGTCAGAGGGGGATGACGGGAGATGAGGGGAAAGGAGAGAGCTAGAGAGAGGATGTGCTGGGGCTCAATGTGCAGAAAAATGGCATCTTTATCTTGTAGGCCAGGCAGCTGCTGACAACTGCTCCTGCCCTCTGGATTGGAGACTGGAAGTCTATTGAGTCAGAGAAGTAGAGGATCAGTAAACTGTCTTTCAGGTGACAGAGACAAACTGGCACAGATCTAAGACTCTGGGATGGATGGATCAGGGCTGTCAGCTACCTGTTACCTCTTGGGGCAGCAGATCTCTGGAAAGTGAGCCAAGTGCACAGAATGGCAGATGGGTACCAGAGAAAGGTGTTCTAAACCATCTAGCTGTGGTGGCCTAGTGGTTAAAAACTGTGCTGTCATGCCCACAGCTCAAATCCACCAGCTGCTCCATGGGAGAGAGATGGGCAGTTTCCTCCCATGTGATTTACTGCCTCTGAAAACCTGCTGGAGTGTCAGCTGTAGGGGTTCCCACTAGACAGTAAACAATAATAAAAATGAGCCACGCCATAGGAGAGCAGTGAGGTAGTGAGCTCCCTAGTCCTGGCAAGTTTCTTCCTGTGTGGATTTGCTGCTCCGTGTCTTCTTTGAAATTCTCTGCAAGATGTGTGTAGTATGCTGTGTATTTCCCTAGGTGTATTATACCCATCCCTAGGGAGCTCTGGTAGCCTAATCCTAGTGGTAGGGAGTTGCCCTTCTGATCCAAAGGCAAGCAGTTCAAATCCACATGCTACTCTGCGGAAGAAAGATGAGCAGTCTCCTCCCATGTGATGATATATAGGCACTGGACTCTAATGGTAGAACATAACAAAAACAACTAGCCTTGAAGGGAATTGCTATTATTTTACAGATCGAAAACAGAGGCTTGGAAAAGTACAGATGGGCCTCTGTGTGTTTGTGTGTGTGTTTATATGTCTTTCTATTCGCTTACTCAATTTATTGAGCACATGGTTTGTACTCAACTACTAACCTCAGGGTTTGGTGGCTTCAGCCTACCCAGAAGTGTCATAGATTTCCAGCCAAGAAAAATCATATGAAACAGTTCAGCTCTGTAGCACATGGAATCACCATGAATCAATGATGACTCTGTGGTAACAAGTACTATTACAAGACCCTAGTCTATTTACAGAGAGTTTTGGTGGCCTAGTGGTAAGAAATTGTGCTGCAATCCCAAAGGCACGTGGTTCAAATCTACCAGCTGCTCTGAGGAAAAAGGATGGGCAGTCCCCTCCCTTGCAACTTACTCTGAAAACTGGCTGGAGGGTCAGCTCCAACTCATTGGCACACAACAATGACATTCTAAGCACTGGAGATTTAGAAAGCTAAGACACAATGCAAAGAACTTGTTGCCACAAACTCATTGTTAGTTATTTGGTTCCATTCATAAAGGGGTTCTGCAAGAGGAAACTGCCCATCTTTTCCCCCAAACTGCGAAAGATGAGAAACCTTTGGGTTAGCAGCACAATTCATTACAGACTATGCCACCAGAGCCTAGCTGGGGAGAAAGCAAGTAAAAAGTGAGGAATGGTAATGGCAATGAGTTAGTGCCCGACTGTCTTCTGCGTCAGAAAAAGGTGGAGAACATACTGTTCTTGGCTGAGAGAGAATCCACAGCAATGTGTGAAGCAGCCCTGTGCTTTCAGAGAATTGATGCTGGTGTGTTGTGTTGTGGCCAGTGGATCGCAGGAGGGAGGCTAAGGCCAGGTCAAGCGGAGTTTGGCTTTGCCATCAAGTTGATTGGGCCTGCCTCCTCAGAACTGCAGATAAAGGGAGGGCTGAGGCCTTCGGTGTCCCAGGCAACCGTCCCAAACTCTCCTTCCAGCTGTTGGTGGGAGGGGCTTAGTGAGTGGTAGAGGAGGTAGCCAAGCTGGGGGGCAGGGAGGGTGCAAGTTCCAAGAAGTTTACTTGTGTCCCCTGAGAAAGGAAAAGTATGGTGTCATAGAGAATTGCATCTTGGCCTGAACACAAGTTGTAAATCTGCCGGGCTCTGATACTCAGAAATGACAAGGCATTGGCGTTTGTGGCAAATTCTTAGCTTAATGAATGAGGCATCTTGGCCCCTCCTCCCTCCCCCACCCACCGGCCCCTTTCCTGAGAGTTCACTGGAAAAGTGGGCCCCACTAATCTCACCAAACAGCACTGAGCTGGCCCTAGGGCTCGGCAGTGAATCTCCTTCTGTCTGGGTTGTAGTTGGTCTCATAAAATCTAATTTACCCTGTAAATAGGTAAAATAATCTGCCAAAGAAAGGAAATTGAGAGACGGCTCTGTGACTCCCAGCCACAGAACCTCCATGTCCCTGAGGAGACTGAGAGAAAGATTATGGGAGAGAGGAGCCCCTTTGAGACAAAAAATTGGCAGAAAGCAGGGGTCCACAGAGCATGATGTCCACCTCAGTCCTGACAGGAATATTTGGAAAATGCTCCTGCCCAGGACCTCAGGTGGCAGGAAACTGAGGCCACAAAGCCACCAGACAGAACAAGGCCCACATCCCAGGACATCACCTTAACGAGAAGATTAGATGGTGTAGCAACCCTGTTTCTATTAAACACTGTTATATTGCAGAACAGAATGCAAA